TCTGTATCTGTATCTGTATCTGTATCTGTATCTGTATCTGTATCTGTATCTGTATCTGTATTTGTATTTGTATCTAATAGGATTCGATTACTTATTAATGTTACACCAATCACTCGATAATAGATATATTAGAATAAAGTTCATTCAAATCGGAGTAGTCATGTCGCAAGTGTTCACATCATAAACTTAGTTATTAGTTATTGTTTAAGCAGTAAAGTTACATTTCAGTGTGCCCCCTGCCATTGAGTCCCTACTTATTCGTTGAGGGTTAGATCTGCCATCGCGCACATTAAGTATACACCCCGTTGTGCGATATATAAATTGTGAAATAATTTCATTGATTTCCCGTCGTTAAGTTAATTGGAAATAGTTTTGTCAATTCAGCACTTACCTCGTTTTCTTTTTTTTTATGCCGTTGGGATCGCCCTTCTTCTTGTTGTTGTCTTTTTTGGCGGCTGGAACAGCGACAACGCCACCAGCAGCTGTGCCCGTCGCTCCTGCTCCACTCGTGGCAGGACCGACGGAACTGTTGCTACTATTATTATTGCTGTTGTTATTGTTGCTGCTGGCACTGCTGCCGTTGCTGGTGGGATTTCCATTGCTGATGCCATTCGGCGTGGACGACCCATTCTCCAGTTGGACGCACATATCCTCTGGTTTCTTATGCTTGCCATTTGCCGTGTTGCTGAGCAGCAGCGGTGTTGCTTCCAGCAATCCGTTACCGTTGCCATTGCTGGCATCCTCATGGCTGTGGCCGTGGCCATGCGCATGATTATGATGCGGACTGCCGCCGTATAGATGCTGCTGGTGTTGCAGCTGAACATGCTGCGGCTGAGGCTCGTACGGGTCCTTCGGGGAGTAGTCTAACTTGCCATTCAGTGCATGATAGTCGCTCATAATGCCCACCAGTTGCTGCTGCTGTTGCTGTTGTTGTTGCTGTTGCTGTTGCTGGTTTGGCTTGTGGTGCAACATGCCATTGTGATTGTGGGGATGCGAGAGTGGAGGCGGCGGCGTTACGGCATAATGCTGATGATGTTGCTGGGATTGCTGTTGCTGTTCCACAAGCTTCTGGGGCGTTGTCATGTACTCGTATTTCTGGCTGGGCGAGAAGCAGCCCAGCTTATTGCCAAAGTCCATTTTCTGCACATAGTTAGGCGATCCGGAGCCACCGCCGCCGGCACCACCATTCGGCAATATAGTGTTGCAATCGGGCAGTCGCTGCTGTTGCTGACTGCACAACTCATGAACGACACTGCCCAGCATCACGGGATGCAGGCTGCTGTGAGTAACCGTTGCCGTGGATGTCGGAAGCAATGGTTTACTGGCGCCCAGTGGACTTAGTGGGCCGCCGCTAAAGTCACCAAAGATTTGATCATCGAAGGTGGCGTGCTCCATTTTAAAAGGACGCAGTTAGAAATACATAAACACACACACACCCGCACAATTTAACGCTTTTTGAAGTTATATTTGATAGGTTGCTCAAGAGTTAATCCATTTAGTCGGTAATCAAAGTGCGCACAAAGTAAAATCAAAATCAAAATCAATTGTCACTGATCACTAATTGTAGTAAATGAATTAATTGCATTTAGTTTTTGGCGCACGCGCAAAAGCATTTGCCTTCACTTATGCGCCACTCCTGTTGAATGATGCTGCAGCGACACTCACTCACTCGCTGCAATGATTCCGCTCCGTGCACTACGAACCGCTCGACTCTGTGCCTGTGGCCTTAATTGAGCACACAAGTCGCGATGATTGCCCTTTTATACCAATTTGCTGGCAGCGACGCAGCGTAGAAAGTTTCGACCAATCAGCGACCAGCAATGGCCGCCACCACAGCAGTGCATGGGAAGAGCCAGAGAGAGAGACAGAGCGAGAGCATTCACCGATATACCGGCTGTGTTGCTTGTGTTTGTGTTTTATGCTGGCGCGTGTGACTTTTTGCTTTTGCCTCTGCCTTTGCCTTTGCCTTTGGCTCTGGGTTTGCCTTTGCAACCGTGGGGTGTGGTTTTTGTTTTGCCCTGAGAATCTGCTCGCTGCCAGTTCGGGACGCTTGCCAGTGAGTATTATACGCATAGTTTTCCGAAACCGAAAGGAGCCAGCATCAAAATATCCTGGGAAAATTAGTATCAGGGCTTATTCGCTTAAAAGCTTTTAAGCATTCTCTTCTAGATTCAAGTAATATAATAGTTTTTGAATTATAACATTCTTCTTAATAATCATGTCATCGTTTAATAATGATTAATAGATTATATAAAATATAAAGTATGATAAATGAGATAAATAAAGATTCTCAATACAAATTGTCTAAAGTCAACGAATACAATGTATATGTACTTATTTTCTCTTTTTTGCATTATTTAAATAATGAGCATTTGATCACCTGCCTGCATGCCTGCAAATGTTTTTCTCTCGATTAGCTTTGGTCCGAACGAATCCCTATACACATTTATGCACTATTCTAATTGGAATTCTCTCACGCCATACGATCGCATGAGGGTCGCGTTGTTATCGTTGATATTTCCTACCACCACATGACCTCAAGGATCGCGTCGCACGCTTGCGAGACTCCTTCCCACCCTCCCTCTCTGTCCCTCTGTTCCTCTATATCTTTGCTGCTGCGCGTGTCGCCCTCACCACTAAGCTAAACCTCACCCTTGGAGGATTGGCGCGCGTTTGGTTGCGCGCTCGACCTTTTGGCCAAATGCTGGTATCGGACAGCCGGGCACTTACGAGTCAATAAATTGTGGGTCATTGGTATAGGTTTTAAGATTTCACGGCAGGAATTTGACCGGGAAGGAAAAGCGGGACTAAATTATATAAGTTGGAAGAAAATTTCGTTTTCGTGTCAGTAAGAAAGTTCACGAACCGTTGGTCTTTAAATATTTCTAAATCTATCTTTGCATACTTATTGAAATCGTCAATTCGCAAGGAAGCGTGACAGAAGGTCTGATGGTTCAATGGACGGAAGAGTTGACTGAAAGTGAACAAAAAATAAAAGTCCGGTTTCTTCGGTAAATGAGTAGGAAAAGTGGCCCTTAAAGAATATTTAATTAGTAACACTTTTTTGTGTTAATTTAATGCCAGGTGTCAATTACTCTACTCCATTTGATTCGGCACTCTATAGATCAATTGTTTAAAATATTCTCAACATTTATTGTAGGCTCTAATCAATCCGCACCATCCAATCCCGATGCTGATAAGCCTAGCTGCTGCCCGCATTGACCTTGCAAAATAAACAAAAACTTTAACCTGAAGTTCCCAGGATCAGCTCGCTTCTCGCTTAAGGCTGAACATAAAAATTCCCATTTTCATTCGGCACAAAACTCATGAAAGAATCTCACAGCAACAATTTGATACTTTTGGTCGCGCTATGGGGCAACATTTTTGTCTGGATTTGTCTTTGCAGGTTTCAAAATGCGGGCAGCGGAAATAGAATCGAGAATGGGAAACAAGCACGCGATAGGCGTTGAGCAAAAGAAAGAAGCCACCCCACAGTTGGAGAGATGATGCGACCAGCCTTAGCCCGTAAACGTTTGCGTGTGAATAATCAGACAACATTTTGCATTGCGATTGCTATTGCGCCAATTATGTGGGCACTATTATGGTGCGGGAATGTCCTCGGGTGGGGTGTGCGACAGAGAATTTTCCTGCCGACTCAAGGCTTTGAGGGTTAAGAAGAGTCAACGAGGATAGCATCTGATCGATACGAAAAAGTCAATAAGTCAAGGGGGCAAAGGACCCAGACAGAGTTAATGAGTAACCAAGATCTCGGCAATAGAGATTATATCACTACCTTGAAGGTCTTGTTTTGATCTTAATTAACGAAATAGACATATAGCAAGATAGAAAAAAATATACTAATGAGAGGTCGTGGAATGAGGGCTAATGTTAATATTTGAGAAATAATAATAATAGTAATCACTTTAGTGATCTTCTCGAAAATCAAATACAGATTTGCGTTCTGGATTCCTTCACCAACTTGTGGAACTTGGTACAGTTTGTCACAGAAACCAAATTGCGCTGCCTAAACTTTTGTTGTTGGATGCGAGTGCCACTGCGACAATTTTTCATATTTTTTCCATAACCATTAAGATTCACACAGACACACATACACATACACAAACACGAGTCTCACTTGCACATATTTGTTGTGAACCCAGTGACAGTCACTACTCCGCATCAGCATCAGCTCGGCATCATCATCATCGTTCAGCATTCAGCATTCTCATCCTCCAGTTGAATATTATCACATTGTATTACGATATACTTATATGTATTTTTATTTTTTTTTTTTTTTTTTTTTTTTTTGTTTATTTTGCTCTTTGCTTTTTGCCATGCCTCTCTGCATACATACATATCTACGTTATATTATATATATGATCGTATACCTCGCACTCGTATGTAATTGTGATCTGCGCCAACGAAATTCCAATATGGCGTGCACAAACACATACACAAACACACACACATGTACATATACATATATATGTACGTAGTGTCAGAGTCCAGAGTTGGGCAAAGCAGTTCACCAATACAGTTGCATCCAATTAAGCTTCGTTAAGATCAATTTAAAATCCCGCATAAAATATCAAATAGTTTTTGTACTTTAGTTCCATTTCTGCTGTCGCTATTTGTTGTCGGTTGTCGGGCAGACGCTCTCCACAGCCACAGCCACAGCCAGCGAGCCACCCAGCGAGCCAGCCAGCCAGCCAGCCAGCCAGCAACAACAGCAAAGTTTCGAAATCCGCAACCCACGGTACGAGACAATGTCTCCAAGTCGATCGGGCCCCAGGCCCCGACATGACAAAGATGTATAGTTTTTCATATTTTGTTAATTCTCTATGGCACTTTGGGGTTGCAGTTGCCCATTGTCCACTTGTTGCCTGTCCACTTGTTACCCCCTTTAGCATAGCACTTTACATGATAAGACTCTGCGCAGGCTCCATGACAACGGATGTGCGGACGTCTTTGACATCTGACCCGTACGATCACGAGCTATAAGAGTATTTACAGCCACCAGACACGGCAACTGCCTAACTGACTCGTAGTCATAAATGTTTGTCTAAATATATTCCAATACTTGAGTTATGCTTTGCACGTTAGCTCATATATATATACATATTGGTCTAATATTAATCTAATAACCACTAGATTAGGTGAACAGTGTGAGGCTTCTAAACTAAGAAAATATAAATATATGAAATAGATTTTCTATTTTTAAGAAAATTTGAAAATGATATAATTTTTTCCCTATTCAATTGTAATGATATTACATCTATTTCAAACTTTCTTAACATTATCTGGACACAATGCTTTTACGAATGCTTCATCGAAGATTCGAAAATATATTCGTATATACAGCCATTTTAAATAGAATCATTCTCAACTACATATATTACAAATATGATTTTTTCCTTCTGCCTATATAAAAAAAAAGTCTTTGAAATATATATCTTACTTTGATATAAGAATCGTAAGCATGTTCTACGTCTCTCTACGGCTACTTGAAGTCGTTATCCCCACTTGTATTACTCAATATATGTATATACAGATACAATATATATCCAATGCGTTTTGAACGAAAACGATAATAATTTATTTTAAGTAATTTTACTTAATATACAAACAGATATTTTATTTCTACCCATTTGTCGTGTTATTGGGATAAGAAATATAGCAGATACAACTTAATGCAATCAAAGTGAAAGTGAGAACACGCCAATAAATTAAATCCAATCAGAATCGTAAGAGCGCATATGGAGCTCAAATATACATATGAAAGATGACAATCACTTCGCTTGGCTTGCCTTGGCCCTTGTAATTGGCTCTGGGTCGGAGTCTTCTCGGATCACAAAAAATCGCAACACAGCGCGCGTAATTCAAATTAATTGTTGACAATTGTGACTTATTTAAGCCAAAGGCGCCATTTAATGTGGTTCAACGTGGATATGGACGCAGTCTGTGTTTGCCTCTGATTACTTAAACGGTGTGATTATAGCAGCAAAATCTGAGAGATTTATAGGATAGCTGAGCAATTGCCGAGACTAAATATAAATGCGGTAAAGCCTTTGTTAAAGGATAAGGCGGTCATCTCCATTTGTTTAATACAAATTCTAACTATGGTAAATAATAACAATTCCTGAATGCCTAAATAAGCTTACCTAAGGAAACGGAAAGATCATTAGAATATAATTCTAATTAAGTTCTACACATGCCATTTCCTAATTTAATTTAAAAAACAAACAATAAAATTGTTTATTTGCAGTGCATTAATATTTGAATATTTAAATATCGGCTGCCAACTATTAAGCCCTTTACTATTTATGTATGTGTGTATGTTTGTACTATTGCAGAAATTCAAAGGCAGACATCGATTACTAATAAAATGTATCGATACCTAACTCGATCAACGTTAAATTTAATTTGAACGATTTATGAATGAATAAACTGGATTGCAGCATCGGCTGAAATTTGTGTTCTTAATTTATAATTGAATTTATAGCACTTTGTTGTCGTTGTGGGCGTCGCATATCGTTTTTGGCTGCTCGGCCGATGTGTGTGGCTTAATTGTTTGTAATTAAATAAAATTGTACAAGGTCGCTTACAAACTCACTCACTCGCTCGCTCACTTAGTGACATTGGGACTTGGGCGTTCTGCTGGAAAATCCATGACTACCAATTTGTTTTAATATAGTGCAAAAAGTAATGAAAAACGCCGGCCGGCCGGCAAAATTGTATTTGTATTTGTTTCGTATGTAGTAAGCGTCTGAAATTGATTCCTGCTCATTATTTCATTAAAAACGCTCCGACCAATTGGTCACTGAGTGCCCATTCAGTAGAAGGAGACATCGAATTGACGTCGTCGTCGCCGTTGTCGTCGTCAGCGTCATCATGTTTGAGTGCTCCCTGATTTTTGCTTGCATTTTGATCAGATTTTATGAATGAAATTGTATCAATTGATTGTTTTGGTGCTGTTATCGTTGCCTTTTGATCGTCGATAATTAAGTCGGGGGCGTGTGCCTCATATACTGGTCAAATAGATTCCAGTTATATTGGGCTTGGGTCAATCCCCAGTAGTGGCTCAATTAGCAAATCAAATTGTCTATCTTGAATGAAGACATTATATATCGATTAAAATCATCTCATTTTGTTAATCAATTCAGTATCAATTAAGATTACTCAAATTATGTATCTGTTGAAGAAGGTAAAAGCGATTGGCTTTTGAATGACTTCTTGAGGAGTGGCAAGAATAAAACATATTATTATGTTAATGATTTCTGATTCGTCGGGTTAGATATCTAATCTAGACAGTAATATTTTTTTAAGTATCAGAATACAATTATATTTCATCAATCTATAATCTAAACGCAACAAAAATATATACATATACTTACTTTAAGATACATTAAAATATTTGTATTTTTGACAATTGTTTTTTACGACATATACATACATATGTATGGAAATATGAATATGGGATATGTCAAGAAATTCCAAAATGTGTACGCACTAGTCACAAACCGTCGACAAATACTGGCGTATATAGAATATCGCGGGGAAGGTGGAGAGAGACGCAAATATGACATGCGGGCAAGTTTTTCAATTGATCTTAATGAAGCTTAATTGGCTGCGCTAGTATTGGTGTGTGTATGTGAGCCTCAGGAAAACATAGTATGCCCCATGACTGAGCTGCGCATACACTGAGGAAAACTGTTTGGCAGAGATTGGCTGAATACGATGCGGACCTAAACTGAACGATTAGAATTTCGCACTGTGCATCAACGAATAAAGCAATAGGACTTAAAGACCCAATACCCTTATTGAGCTACTGCACTTCAGTGCGACCTCTTATACACTTACCTCCTAAAACATTTTTAGAAACTTGATATTTTTAATATATCAATTTATTATTAAATAAACAGCCAATTTGATTTTAATCATAATTATGACGAATTACTGTGTGTTTTGATTTAAAAAACTTGCAGTTAGAATTTGACGAAAATTCCAAAATGCACTACTCAGCAAGGTAACATACCGCCAGTTACGTAACATATGTACGTAATTTACCACTGACTAGATTATCAATTACGTTGTCAGCTTACTATAAGCCGACTGAAGACAATCCGTTCCCAGGCTACACTGCTTTAATACATTAATACATATAATATATATATTTATAAAGTACATATATATATATATATATATATATATATTTATGAACGTAACTAATGTGGGAACTTGAATTTTTTAACTTCTACAAACCTGATTATGTATGCCAACAGTTTATATTCTAAATGTTTTTTATAATACTTAGTTTTAGTCTTATAAAGTAGATCGAGTTGATCAAAATAATAAACATATCTTGTATATTTAGCTCAAAGGGACTAACTTTAAGGAATATCCTGTTTTAGGATTTGAGTAGTTCGACCCTTAGATACTTACTTCTGTGCATTTTACATACTCACTATATTTATTGTCATTTATTACTCGAAGACAGGCGGTAATTTAAATATGTACATATGTCGAGGTCAACCTCGCTAGTGCACAAAAAAAAAAAAATAAATAAATAGAATAATTTTGTTTAAGTGAATTGTCAAATAAGAAATTCATTAATAAATGAATTAAGTTTAAAATTATAACAAAATAATAACCTATTTACTGTAATAAGAGAACCTGTAAGCTTAGTCTTTGGCGTCATTTAATTACATTTGTGAGTACATATTCCTGTACCTAGCGAATTATTTATTGCCAAATTAAATACTATACCGCATTTTTTCGAAGTATATTTTTTATAAATATGCCATGTTCACCATAATCATCAATCAAAGCAAATTATAGTATCGAGCCAAATAGCTCTTCTTTGAGCTTGTAACATTTTAAAAGATATCTAGATATGGTCAAAGTCCGTAGAATCCTGATTTAAAAGGAAATCATTGCCTCTAACATATTCTAACATATTATTGATTCCCAAAAATGTAACAACATTATTTTGAAAGATGTTGAGCGATTTGCATTTTAATCTTTGGACAAACGATTGTATTACACTTTTCAACTTAAGATGATCTAATTAGTTAAGTAAATAACCAATGCTGTTATGAATTTTAAATGATAGATAATGAAGGATACAGTGGGACCAATTGACTGGTTGACTGGCTAGTGTGTAGCTGCGAACTGATGACATTTAAGCATTGGCAAAGTCAATGCCCTTCTGAATGTTCTTCTTAAGTTCGGGAATGGCAGCCTCCAGCAACTTCTTCTCATAGTCGTTCAGCTTGGGCAGTCCCAGGTTCTCCTGCAGACCATTCTTACCCAGCACCAGGGGCGTGGAGAAGAATGTTGCCTCAGTAATGTTAGACTGCACGTACGAGCACTCGATAACGTTCTTATCGCCATTGAGGCCCTTCAGCAGGGAACCAGCAAAACGAGCGCCAGCGTAGGCCATTGACAAAGTGGCAGATCCGGCACCAGCCTTAGCCTTAACCACCTCAGTACCGGCCTCCTGAATGCGCACAGTCAGCTTTTCAATGGCATCCTGGTTGCCCTTGAATTGAGGCTGGCTTTGCGACAGCACTGGTAGGATGGTGACACCGGAGTGGCCTCCAATCACAGGAATCTGCACACTCTGGGGATCAACGCCGAGGGCGTGACCAATGAAGGCACGAGCACGCACTACGTCCAAGGTAGAGACACCAAACAAGCGCTTGGGATCGTACACGCCAGCCTGCATAAACACAATTAGTGACAATCTTCTTTATGCTGTCAAGTTAAGCGAAACTTACCTTCTTCAGAATCTCGGCAGCAATTGGCACACAGGTGTTGACTGGATTGGTGATAATAGCCACCAGAGCCTTGGGGCAGTTCTTGGCAATGGAGTTAGAAATGTCCTTAATAATGCCAGCGTTGACATTGAACAGATCATCGCGAGTCATGCCAGGCTTGCGGGGTACACCAGCAGGGATGACAACGACATCAGCACCTGTTCGAGATAATTAATATAATAAAAACGATTAGGCGAGAGTACTAGATTTAAATGACAGCACTTTGATCTTTTGTATTAAGCTCCAAGCAACAGGCTACTGTTAAGAGGCGATAAGTTCGCGCACAGATTAAAAGTCAGTTATAAAAGTAGAATAAACTTTCTCTTATCGCATCAATTAGGCTTATCGGTTATGACACGTAAATGCATGAAAATAAAAAAATAAAAATGAATTTTTATATTGTTCTTGTTTATGCAAATTAAATTACAAAAAAATACCAAAAACTTTACTAAACCCATGATGCTATGCCGATTTTCCAATCTGGATTATTAAACCTAACCTCACTTACTGCCTTATCCACTTACCCTTCAGGGAATCGCCCAATTGGTCGGCGCCCATGAATCCAGCCGTTTTGCTCTTGGTGTCGATGTGAGACAAATCGGCAGCTACACCGGGCGTGTGCACAATATCGTACAGAGCCAAATCCGTGACCAAGGGATTTTGCTTCAGCAGCAGCGACAACGGCTGGCCGATGCCGCCAGAGGCGCCGCATACGGTCACCTTATAGTTATTCTACCAAAAAATAAGATTAATATATTTTAATTTCTGTAGACAATGAACCTGATCAAGAGTGTATATATTTTGTTTCAAGCCTTCGCAGAAATATATTTTTTTATTTGGTCATGTAAATTTTTTTTATTACGTAAACCGCAAGAGGCAATCGTCAAGTGTCAAGAAAAGATTTACATTTAATTGTTGCTCACCTGTTGGCTGACCGAAAAGTTGCGCACGCCTTGCAGCGCCAATTGCTTGGTAACTTGCTTCAACATTTTTATTTTGTTTTTAATAAATTGTTAAAAAATTGGTATGCAAAACAATTAGCAGCTGCGCGACTTGCAAAATCCCAATTGCTATTCACTAAAAGCTTTCAGCCAACTTGGCGCAAGGTTAAATTCTGTATGTTGTTGTTGTAGTTGAGCTTTAAACAGCTGTTGCTGTAAAACGGTGCTGCCAATTGATTTACGGAAAAGCGCGGGAAGCCTTTTGTTTAAAGCTAAGCTTTTTCTTATATTTGAGATATCTTTTGAATTTGTTTTGTTCGACAGACATATGTATGAGTAAAAATTTAAATAAATTAAAACTCCTGCATTCGCAGCTCTACTTGAAGGGCAATGCAGGCACGTCGCTCCTCCTTGATTTCCATGCCCAGCATTTGCTTTTTGTGCTCAAGCAGTGAATTTTCTCGCGTGTAATGTTCAATGATTCGTTCGTAGTCACCCTCCGCCGGAAGCTGCTCCTGGCTTATGGTTGGAACAGGTTGTGCTTTTAATAGTTCCTGCTCGTACAATTGTTTTATGCGAAAGATCTCGTTGCGCTCGGCAAGAATACGAGTTTTAAGCTCGTTTTGCCAATTCATTAATTCATCATATTCTATTTGCAGCCGCAAGAGATCATCACGCTGAGGATTAGATTTTGACAATAGCAAATAGCCTGTTTGCTTATCAACGGTGTATTCTATCGGTGGTGGCGAAGTTGTAATGTTAGTCTCATCATGCTGCTGGAGCGATGTGACTGTGTGCGTCGGCACAGACTTTGAGTCAATGGTATCCTCACTAACGATGGCTGCAGATACAGTTGATTGATTGGTGGTGGGTGGTTTCTGTTCGGCTGGTTGGACTGCTGACTGAGGTGCTGGTGCTGGAGCTGGTGGTGCAGAGGTGGCGTGTTCTAGTTCATCAATAGACTTCTCTTGCTTCTTTTCACAGCTTCGAAGTTTCCGTTTGAGCTGCGTAATGATACGCTGGACCTCCCAAAGCTGTTCCTCGCGCTTTTTGGTAATAAAGCCCGCATTCATTTCGCTGTGTATCTGAGTCAGCAGACTGTCCTGCTTGCGTAGCTCTGTCTTAATATCCTCCGGATTGTCTGGAAGTCCAGGACTGCTGGACGTAAGTGGCGGAACATATCTGCAAGAAATATTAAATTTTAGTTAAGGATCCATTAGTGTATTTAGATTGATGACTGCCTGAACAAAAAGCTGACGATTCGACGAAAACGAGTACGTTTGCGTGGTGCTACGCTCATGTTTCTGGAGATCTGTCATATTATGGGCGCATGATGCGCGCTTTAATCTAATCTGGCCAATGTTTACTCACTTTATCAGCTTTACGTCCGGAAAGAGATTCGTGCAGTGGCATAATAGCACGACCATTAGGCGGTGTGACATCTGTAGCGTCGGACTGAGCAACATTGCTAGAGATTGAGCATTCAGTTTGTTGTAACGCTCCTGCTGTATGACAGCGTCAAAATGCAATAGTATCCACGATAACAAAGTGCGATTGCATTTGGGCAACTGCTCTAGTAATTGCTCCAGTTCTGTCTGCTGGTCGGTGACTTTGGGATGTGAAGCCACCTCCTCAAAGCGTGCTACTAGATCTGTAGTTAAGACCGGTTCCGGGAGCTCACGCAGAAATAATTTTAGCAAACTGCAGGCGGTGGGTATATCGTCCACAGATGCATCATTATCGCGATTGTTGTATAATCTTTTGTAATGCAACAATCGCGTTTTAATGGGCTCCACTTTGTAAATGTGATCACATTTGAGCGATTGCTCCTGCTGCAGAAAGTCGATGCAATCGCGCACTACCAGCGGCAAATCGATTCCATCATGGCATCGGGAACGTTCTGTGGCCAAACTAATCGACACACCAAAAATAGGATATCCAAGCGCTAAGACTTCTTCAACTTCGCTCCCGTCCTCTTGTTGCAATTGTTTGCTCTTTTTATCTTTTTTATCTTTCTTTTCGAACTTGTCCTTCTTGTCCTTTTCTTTGCGTTCCTTATCTTTCTTTTTATGATCCTTTTCGTCATTGTGTCGATCTTTCTCTTTTTCACGTTCCTTCTCTTTTGCCTTTTGAGGCGGCTCCTCATCTAACGTTTTTGGTTCTTTTTCCTTGTCACGCGACTTTTCACGCTTTTCCTTACTTTTTGAGCTTGTAAATTTAAAAGTTTTTGACTTCTTCGATTTTGAAGGGCTTCTGAGTGGATAAAAAAACTCAATTCTAGGCGATATTTAGAAGATTTTAGGGATCGCATTATCTTACTTTGTATCCAATTCTTCCTCTGGCGAACTTTCGCCTTCCAGAGCGGCATATCCACGATCTTTCCCCTTATCTTTCTTATCCTTTCGTCGACCTATGAGCAGATCTTTCTTGCTGTGCTTGTCATGGTCACCTTCACTAACTAATTAAGAAATGCAAAATATTTTTGTTGTAGCGCCCTTTTTCATCTTTGATCTACTTACAGTCACTTTCTTCTTTGCTCTTTTTGGACTTGGAATCTATTGCTTCAGAGGCATAAAGCCCTGGAAACTCCTTTTCTTCCGGACTATCAAAATCCATACTGTTGTGGCAACTTGTTTAAATAAATAAATAAATACAATTAATATGTTTACACCATCTGCAATCAATAAACAAAGCAGAAGAGGCTAACAATCGATTGCAAAATCGATTTAATTTAATAGAATTGCCAACCTGATGCAAATGCAAATTGCAAAGCGGCGTTTATTAGACAAATTGCAGAACAGAATCAAAAATAAAGAATAACTATTTTTTGCGAGGGATTCATCTACATACATTAAAAAATATATATATATAATCGGAATAATTTCTGAAAGTATCAATTGCAATTCAGCAATGAACAGCATACCATTGAGCAAAATAATCCGATGAAATCAGATTTGTTTACATTCTGTATGTAAAATAATTGTTTTATTTTGAAAGAAAAAACACAAAATGTCCTCAGTACGATTAAGCCAAGTGGAACGCGATCATTTGGCGTTACTACAACGTCCGGCCAGTGAAGTCCTAGAACTATGTAAGTCGGCATTCGACTACCTGGTGAACGGGCCCAACTTAGAGCGCTATGACATGTTGGCCAAGAAATATGCAGGTGATGTGAATAGTGAAGCGGTGCAGCGAGCAGTGGAAGCCTTAATATCACTGTTAATCCATGTAACCACCAAGTCCACACCTAATGGTGAACAGGTTAATATGCGCAATATATTCCCCGATTTGAGTGACGATGTGCTGGAGGTTCTTGAACAATTTGTCACAAGTAAGAGAAATTTCGTAGAGGGCTCGATTAAATCGGCCAATATTCGTGCCTACCGACTAGTCAACCTGGATTGGCGTCTGGAGGTGCGCACTGCATCTCGCTGCTTGTTGCAACAATCAAATATAGTAATAACAATGAAGCTATATCTGCATACTGAGCCGAAAAACGAAAATCGCGAACTGCTCGAAATAGATACGTCCGAACGTAGCGAGAATGAGCTAAAAGCAATGCATGAGGATGAGCGACGGCACCGTAAGGATCTTATAGTGCAAACGGATGTCAGCAGTCTGGTGTACCTAATCAAAACCCTCGAGGATGCCTTGGCGGAGTCGAAGACGCGTCGCATCAAAAACATTGTCAATGCCATACACTAAAGGAATATATGTATATGTATATAATTTTAATTGTTAAGTCAATATATTAAACATATTTTAAGCTGGACCAATTTATTGCAATTATAACTAATTAAAATCTAAAATCATTTTTTATAAATCAATCGGCTGTTGACAATGCTTCAACTGCGGCTGCTTTTAGTGCTACTTTCTTTTTCTGACGATCCGCGCGTTTCTCCTCCGGTGACTTTTTCAGCGCTTTCACGCGGCGTGTTTGTATTGAGCCCGTCTGTTGCTTGCCCAGATGGACGCGTCCCTTTGTATTGCCCAACGCATCGGTGCTGACGTTTTTCTTTTTAGTAACCCTCAGCTGCTTGGGCTGTTTTCTGGACAGCTTATATAGATCGTCAGATGCAATCTTCGTACGACGAATTGAAAAATCAGCCGATGGTCCAATTTCTTCCAGCTCAATGCGCGGGGTCTTTTGACCGGATTTCTTTAGCAAGATTTTATATGAACGCATGAGGATACTCATATCATCGGTGACTGTGAAGCTAAGTACGTGCTCTATACCCTGTAGACGTATGGATTCAACCTTTTCTCGCTGAAACATGTCTATGAAAAAATTGCGCAAACGACGCAGCTCCTCGGTCTGAGCCCATTTCGGCCCGTTGAAGACCAGGCAGGGCTTCACACAGGCGCCAATCTTTTCGTTTTTAAACTCTGAAATCGACTGATAGCGCTTTATGCCTAGCTCAAACATATCAAGTACTTCATTTTCGAAGATACGACCAATGATTATGTTATCTGGACGCTTCTTTGACGTTGATCCAAACGTGAAAAGCGCCGCATCATTTTTCATAGTTAAACTAAAATAAAATAAAATTAATTTCAGGTGAAATAGAACTTTCAGTGAATTCACTTACAATTCCAGGGAAGATGGATCATCGAATGGTGTTATATCGTTCTTACGGTTTAGAACTTTAACTAGCGGCTTCTTCAGCTGTTGCAGATCCTTCATGCAGAGCTTTACGTTACCACCACATTTACGTCCGTCCACGAACAACATAGTGCGTGCCGACTCAATGAGTTGCGGCTCACGGGCCAACAACACTTTCTTTCCTTTGCGTGTTTTCGGTTTCCTACAAATACATTTAGATATGTAAGCAGTGTGCGACAAGTGAATTCTATCTATTTTAGAGCACATACCTGATCCGTAAAAGTGACATTATTAAGTATTAATTTATTTAGTTATTTAGTTCTTTTCAAAATGCACAAACGCACGTGTAGCGTCTTTCTGATAGTGGCAACTGGTATAATTTTACACTTGCTTACTTATTTACTTAGGTTGGCAGCGCTGAATCAGCTGTTCTCAGCTACGAACGTAATTAATCGATTGTTGTACATCTCAACTGTTGCATATTGTATTGTTTCACGAGAGCTAATAAAGTTTAAAATGACATAAATATGTTGCGAACTAGTCAATGTCAAGCTCAACTACTATCGCGCGGCTGTGTTTATTTAGCACGTGGCTTAGCTGCAATAAATAAGACATCCAACAAAGAGGATGACCCAAAGCCAATCAAATCAAGCGGATTTGAACGGACAACGGAGGATTCCTTGAATCCCAGCTATTTGGCGCGAACCTTAGGTATGTAGCTATGATAATGGTAATACATCGGTTCTAAAGTTAAAATTACTTTCAGGCAGTAACTATCGCACATGGGCACAAGCGCTAGAAAAGCATCCTGAGCTGAAAACGGTCAAGCGAAAAGACTTGCTCAATTCCTATCACACCTTAAAATCGTTGAATTACAGCGTCGATGATATTGTTACAAAACCGATGATTATTTATTATGGCGCTTCAACACTTGCCAATCGCCATAGTGTGCTCATTGAATGCGGGTTCCAAAACATCAGCATCCCAACGTTGTTTAAATACGTAACAGTTATAAACAAGCCAATAGATATGCTGAAAGCACACAATTATATACCCTATGATGTTAATGTTCCGGAACGTCTCAAGAAATGCTTTACGACTGTCCAGCTGAACAACTTTAATATACAAGAACACCTTGATGAAAGCGTGCCCTTAAAGACCCTAAGACAAAATGTACTAAATGCATATTTGCGCGAACGTCTACAAATGGAAGATGCGGATTTGCAGAAGCTGTGGCGTGTATATGGCCGGGTACGCCACAAGAGTTTCCGGTCCGTGCAGGATATTGTCGAGTTGTTAACATCAGTGTTTAAGTTTCCAGCTGAACGCCTGCGTAAAAATAGTTTCCTTTTGCATGGGGATGCAGACAATGTTCGTCGTATTCTAAAGGAGATCCCCACAATTAATGGCCAAGACATTCGTGATATTGGATATCGTCGGCCAAAAATTCTAATGTCCACTTGTGATGGTCTTAAGCAAACACTGGAGCACGTGAAATCCTTTGGTATTAAGGAGGATGCTGTTCTGCGATGTCTTGAAGTGCTCACTTTAGGACCAGATACTGTCTTGGAGCGGCTTCGCGATCTAAATGAAATAGAGCAGTTTCAGGTGCTGGGTAGCAATCCGCGTGTACTTCGCCTGGTACACTATCAGAATAAAGCACGTTTGCGTTTGGACTACTTGAACCAGCTCCGTGTACGCTGTGCCTCGTTGCATATACTTTCATGCGGTTCGGAAGCCTTTGCCAAGTGAGTTCGATTATAGGCTTATCTAACATAACGTACATATATATTCTCAATTGTCTCTGTTTTGGTTTTATAGATTTGCACGGGATGGCTCGGATCGTACAAAAGGTCGTGACATTGTAATTTATCTGGGAAATATTTTAGGAAAAGATGAACAGTTGCTACGCAATGTGCTGTCGCGGCATCCCAATTGGTGCCACATACCCGTTCTTCATATCAAGCAATGTCTGGAATACTTGCTAAGTAAAAAATTTAAACTAGACGACATCTTCCGAAACATACACTTACTGTTGTATCCCATGTGAGTAGTGATTAAAATTTTAGCAACAGAACACATTTGAATTCGTCTTTTTGTCTGATTTAGCAAACGCATTGAGGAAAAATTGTTGCTGTTACAGACTCCGGAAATTATAGAAGAGCTTCAACTGCCTGTTCCCAATGTTCACGTTTTGGATAATAATGAGATATTAAAACTGATCCTATATCTGATAGAATCGGAATTTCATTTTACTGGCGATGGCATTTGGACTGAACAGCATACGCATCACGTGGAGAATTTTAATAATCTTTTGCCAGACTTTCCTGAGAGTCTCAACAAAGTGTACAAATATGGTGTAAAACCAGCAGAGAAGCTATCCATGCATTATTTATAAATATATTTAGAACAAATTAATTACACTATTTACAAACAATGTGGAACGTATAGGAATAATATATACGTATATATAAGAATCATCTATCAATAAAATGTATATAAAAGATTAGCTTTAGCTTTTTATTAATTATTTATTTATATGAGAAAGCTGGCTCCTTCGGCGTCCATGGACTATGCACTGCTACTTTGTCCACTGGTATTTGGCTTTGTGTCCTCCTCGTTGTCGTGAGCAACGTATGCACTGCTACTTTTACTACTTGTACTTGGCTCTGCAGATGCTTCCTCCTGATCGTGTCGAGCAATGATAGCACTACCAATTCTAACACTTCTTTTTGGCACTGAAGATATTTCCTCCTCGTCATCAGGAAGAACGTAAGCTTTGCTACTTTTACGACTTGTACGTGGCTCTTCAGATGGTTCCTCCTCGTCGTGGCGAACAACGAAATAACCGTATTTAAGGTTTATAGATTTTGTTTTCTCTATCACTTCCTGATAGGCGGCAGTCAGTGGCTTTTGTACAGCTTCCTGTGCACTATAATCTTTTTCCTATAAAGAAACGCGTTATTGCTGAAGTTTAGTTACAAGTAACTAGCCATAATCACCATCTCGTAGCTTAGATCCGCATCATATTCACATTCATGTGCCACAAATGGCAAATGCACGATTGTTCTTTCCTTTTTTCCCGAAATATTTTTCAGCGCTTCTTCCGGCTTGTCGAACCATTCCAATGTCAGATTGCATGGAACATGACCTTCAGGCATGGTAAATTGACGACATACCACAAATGCTTCGATGCTTGAGCTGCGTGAGGCGGATGGCTTGAAGAGGCAAACATCCTTAAAAAATCGCTGCAGCTGTAAATAAACACGGCTGGTGTCTGCTGCTCTATACACTTTGCCCATGAACGAACCGCCCTCTTCGAGAATGTAGGTCGCAATGCTTAGAGCTGACAATAATAGTTCTGCCTGCATGTAGGCATCCCAATCGTGCAAGCCGGTGATATCGGGTGCCCCATCCGTGACTACCAGTTGCGCCTTTTTGCCATCAAAAAATTTAATAATCTCTTCTGCGGTTGACTCCTTAGTAATGTCGGCACGTAATTGAGTAACGCCATCGATTGGTGCCATACCCTGCATGTCTACAGCAATTATCTTTACTTGCTCCCGGTCTTCTTCCGATCGCGGTTCGTACATACGCTTCGATAGAACCTGCGACCATCCTCCAGGTGCTGCGCATAAGTCAACCGCTCGTGTTACGCCTACGAACTAAGAAACCTTAATTTTTATAATTTAAAGAATGAATTAACTCAAATCTTACCCTCCAATAAATTAAATGTTTCGTCTGCCTGTAGTAGTTTGAAGGCACTTCTGGCTCGCCATCCCTGTTCCTTGGCTAAACGGTAAAATATATCACGTCTGTCCTTTGATGCCTTTCCCATACTGCGATTTAATTAATAACTTTATTGCCTGTAACAGCCTGTGGGTAGTAATAATATAGCAAGTATATTATCAATTTATTGGTCAATGTTGCACGTGCTATGAGTTAGCTCAATCTGCATTGGTTATTCATTCGCTACTTGGTTCCGCACCTAAAAATTTAAATTATATTCAAATTATAATCCATTTATATTGTATAGTTTTTATGGTACTATCTTTTAAGTTTCTTAGCGAATTAAAAAAAAATAAATATTTAGTGGAATAAATAAATTGTTTTTAACTTTACTTTATCAAGCCACTAAAGAGCTAGTTCCAACGCGAACTGCGCCACTCTTAGTATTCAGTGCTGACAAATATTTCTAAAACTTTGGCGGCAGATTGTGAGTTTAAACGGATAGTATTAAGGAAAGAGAATTTGTATGTAAATGAAGCACCAAATTGCTTTGAATCATTAGAAGATATATTATTTTGAAGAATGCTTTTAATAAAGTAAAATGCAATAATTTTATAAAATATTAGTTATTTCTGCGAAAAGTGTATGATTGCAGTTTAATGTTCGTCATAGATATATAACTGTCTAATGAACAGCTACATATATTGAAACTTGCATATTACATTTATTATTTATAATTAAAGGCCGGCTGCCTATCTTTTTATGTTTACAATCTACAAATATATGTACTTACATATACGATTTTATGTACGGAATAATACACATAAGCCACACAGGCCATCTCCTGCAGGCGGATGTGAACAGTTTTTTGCTGGGCAACAATGTAAAGAGACCACGCACTGGCCTCAGCCTCACTTTAAATATCTATTTATAACTTTAATAATATATAGACAGAGAAAATCTATATTAACTAGTGTAGAGGCATAAAAAAAACGTTACAATAAATTTTATTGACTATCATAATTCAATTTAGCCAACTTTGACTTTGATAAATTAGAATATACATATGGAGCTTCGTGAGGACAAGCATAATTCAATCACATTGGACATTAATTAATTAATTAACATTAAGAACAAAAAATCGTTTTGCATATTGCCTAACCCAAAATACAAAACAAAATTTAACTTTAAACTTAACAGATTATATAGAATTCGTTTAGCTACTTAATCTGTTTGGCCATACGTTTCTGCTTAGTTGGGCTTAATGGGGTTGAGGCCTCAGCTGGTCCTGAATCAGTCAGATCAGATTCCGGATCGTCAAAGCTTTTTCTGCCGGCCACCAACTTTTTAATGGATTTGTTCTGTATCTTTGGCCTGTTTACCTTCTTTGTCAGGCTTCCAATTGACTTTCGTGGCGTCTTCAATTTGGACGCTGCACTAATCTCGTTGTCCAAAGCCTTTGTCTTGGCACTTGCAGACTTAACTTTTGGCTGGGCTTTTTTGGGCTTCTTAGGGGTGGTCTGGTCTGACTCACCCGCAACCAATTCAGGCTTCATCTTCCCACCAACTGCAGCTATCTTTGCGGTCGACTTTTTCTTTGCGGGCTACAAGGGTTAATGATACGATGCAATTAGTAAGATGGGGATATGCAGTGGCGTGAGATATTCAAGTAAACCTCATTTGTGTGGCGCTCCGATGGCTTCTTTTTACGCTGCTTTGGCTTTGCAGTCTCTGCACCTGCCGAATCTGGCGTCTTTTCGCTGTCCTTCTTAGTCGCTGGCTTTGTTCTGGTCTTAGCTTTTTGCTCCTTAGCCTTTGCTTTGTCCAATTTCTTTTGCTGATTGGCCTTCATCTTTTCCATGGCTTTGGATTCCGCCTTTGCCGTCGCTGACATTTTAAAGGAGCGCTTCACTTGTACAACGTCACCCGTGCCCATCGCCACTTTGAGTGCGCGTAGCACAAGCTTTTTCATGCGGGTCATGTCGGTCACCTCGTAGCCGGAGGACTTGATGAAGTTTGCAATCGCAGGCACCGATGACCCAGAGCGACTGTTCAAAGCCTTAAGGGCTTTCAAGCAATGCGAGAGTACACTCCCTTTGTTGGCCACTTTCACCTCGGCTGTAGTCATGACTTCCTCTGGCTCCGCCATTTTGGATTGAGTCAGTTTTAAGTTCTATCAGAAATACATATCACGACACACGTCTCAGCTTGAACTGATCAGTCTCGAAAGCGAACTGAAAGGCAACGAGCAGCATTGCAACGGTAATCATCAATTGCGCGTATCATTCGGTTCGTAAAGAGAAGCCTAGGGTTGCGAATGGGTATTAAAGTTGATAGTTCATTTTAAGACACGCTCGCGAAAAGAAGAGTATATTGGTTTTCAAAAATTTTCACTCGGATGTCAGTCGTAAAGCATTTCACTGTTATTCAAGCTCTGAAGATCTGAAATTTGTATAATATATTTATGCGTATAATAATAAATCTGTAATCCATTTGAATGAATATTTAACATGACTTGCAGCGTAATTTATTAATTTATCATTCGTATAATGTATACAGACATAGTTAAATGTTCTATTATTATTTAAATATATATGTATGCGTTGAACATTTATTGGATTTGCATTCTTCTATTTTTTATAGTTGCGGATCTTCTCCCTATTCCCACAGACAACAAACAACATTGCAACGCTTAGTTTCAACTTTAAATAACATTCTATTTACTTTAGGACAATAAACGAACAAATAATCAATATAATTTTAATATTTAATTTGTTTTCTTTAGATTTTTGTTAAAAACATTTTGTTGCATTTAAAGCAGCAGTTTGTTTGCACTTTTCATATTTCATTGTTTAGTTTGTTTAGTTGCTGTACAAATTGTTCACATTGTTTCGGTGCAGGGAACAGTGAGGGGATGGGGACGGGAAGTGCTGAAGAGAACTTTTTTTTAATACTTGTGCGAAGTGTTGTAACATCTTAAAGTTGAGCGAATACAAAATAAACAGAAGACCGAAAGCGGCGCAAGCGAAAGAAACACAAATATGCGTTATTTAATTTGGTTTTGGAATGCTACGATTCTGTATGCGAAACGAAATTAATTAAACAATTCAATGATCGAGAAATAATAAACATTTACAGAGCACACACACTTAAAACCTAACAAAAATGGGTAAACTTTAACAAATTATCGACGGGTCGGCAACAAAGTTTTAAGGAGAATGTTCATTGTTTTGTTTTGTTTTTCTTTCTTCTTCATTTGAGGTGTGGATTGGGTTAATTCCTTTGAGTTTATGTACACGTTATGATATCTTGACAAATTTTGATTACTAAAACACACATTTAAAATAGTTTCCGCTTATATAGTGATTAGAAAATATTTAACTAGTTATTGTTTAGACTGCGCTTCGGCTCTCTCTCTCTCTGTGTATACCACAAATCAAATTTTATACGTAGATATTATCATATTAATATCCTTTTCTTGGGTTATATTGTAGTTAATGTGTATATATGTGTGTATATCGTATATGTATAGACGCATACACAACGGATTATTGCAAAAGGAGGCACGCCGCACTTTGCGCCACCAGCTTAAATTATGAATGAAACAAAATTTTGGACATAAATCAAAAACAAAACAATTTTAAACAAAATCTAATGGCGCGAGTCCCTAGGATAGAATTCAGCCAAAATAGAGGCTGGAATACGTTTAAGCATCTCCTTGGGGAAGATACGCAGCAGCTGCCAGCCAATATCCAACGATTCGAAGACAGTGCGGTTCTCGTAGTTGCCCTGGGGAAATTAAAAAAACAAAAGTCAGCACATTTGTTATTTACTGATATCAATCACTGATTACTCACCTGCGAAATGAAGTTCTTCTCGAACTTAGTCAAGAACTCCAAGTACAGCAAATCATCGGGCGTCAGAGCCTCTTCACCGACCACAGCCTTCATGGCCTGCACATCCTTGCCAATGGCATAACAAGCATACAACTGATTGGAAACATCGGAGTGATCTTTGCGGGTCATGCCCTCACCAATGGCAGACTTCATCAAACGTGACAGAGATGGCAGCACATTTACTGGAGGATAAATCTGTCTGTTATGGAGCTGACGGTCAACGTAGATCTGACCCTCGGTAATGTAACCAGTTAAATCGGGAATTGGATGGGTAATATCATCGTTAGGCATAGTCAAAATGGGAATCTGTGTAATTGAGCCGTTACGACCCTCAACACGACCAGCGCGCTCATAGATGGTGGCCAAATCCGTGTACATGTAACCGGGGAAACCACGACGGCCGGGCACCTCCTCACGGGCAGCAGACACCTCACGCAAAGCCTCAGCATACGAAGACATATCGGTCAAGATAACCAGCACGTGCTTCTCGCACTGGTAGGCCAAGAACTCAGCGGCGGTCAGAGCCAGACGGGGTGTAATAATACGCTCAATGGTTGGATCGTTAGCCAAGTTCAAGAACAGGCACACGTTCTCCATAGAACCGTTCTCCTCGAAATCTTGCTTGAAGAAACGGGCAGTTTCCATGTTCACACCCATAGCGGCGAACACAATAGCAAAGTTATCGGTGTGATCATCAAGTACCGACTTGCCAGGCAGCTTGACCAAACCGGCCTGCCGACAGATCTGCGCAGCGATTTCATTGTGCGGTAGACCAGCAGCAGAGAAGATGGGAATCTTCTGACCACGAGCAATCGAGTTCATCACATCAATAGCAGAAATACCAGTCTGGATCATTTCCTCGGGATAGATACGCGACCAGGGATTGATAGGTTGGCCTTGAATATCCAAAAAGTCTTCGGCCAAAATTGGGGGACCCTTATCGATGGGCTTGCCCGAGCCGTTAAACACACGACCCAGCATATCCTCAGAGACGGGTGTTCGCAGAATATCACCGGTGAACTCGCAAAGCGTGTTTTTCGCATCAATACCAGAGGTGCCCTCGAAGACCTGGACAACGGCCTTGGAGCCGCTCACCTCCAGCACCTGCCCAGAACGCACAGTACCATCTGCCAAGCGCAACTGCACAATCTCAGCAAATTTAGGGAATTTCACCTCATCGAGAATGACCAAGGGACCATTCACACCAGACACCGTCTTGTAAGCTGTTCATACAAAAACAAAAATAGCAACAAAAAATTAAAATTCTTTCTCAATAATGTTTTTTTTTTTGTTTTTTCATTAAATGTTGATTTTTATTTTAACTATTATTTTAGGTTAAAATAGCGCTCTTCACATGAATGCACAAGTGGTTGCGAATAAGAATCCGATAAGAAAGCAAACGTCAAGAATTCGTAGTGAGTGTTACGGGGTTAAATAGTCAGCTGACTGGCAAACTGGCTTTAAGCAGCTGCTATTTGAAGCACGAGCTGCATAATTGACATAAAAACCGACAATGGAAGAATGCGTGAAATGCAATTCAAAATGTTCGTTACATAAAAAGAACTCCACCGAAAACAAGTTATCATTATACAAGATAATTCTTTGCTGTTTTATAAGATTAGTTTTTGTACATATTAGTACCAGAAGTCTAATTTTACATTGGTTTTTATCATTTTTCAGCAGTTTGTTTCTCTTTTTACTCTTCGCTTGCCCAACTTTTGCTAGTCAGGTGCTCTCTGGGAGCGCGCTTTGAATGGCAATAGCAAACAGCTGAGCTTGATGATCGAGTCATGTGACACTGAAAATTTTCATTAAAAATGAATTTTTAGCTCTAATTGGCATAGATTCAAGTCCTGTTATGTACAGGCCAATGAGTACGATATATTTAGTAAATACACTTGAATAGGTGGGAGTAATAACGTTGCCAAAAACATAATATTGATTTTCTGTATCGTGTTCTGCTTTCGCAAACGATTCGTACAAACTGTCATGGCGGCCGATTACCCACGGGTTACGGCAATAATACAGTTTTTAAATTCACAATTCACAAGCGGCACATAATTTGATAGCAATTGAATACTCACTCAAACGTGGCTGGGAGATGAAGTCCCGGGAAACAGCAAGGACATGCTCCCGTTGTGCTTGTTGGGCGTTCATTTTGCGAAATGAATTTTTTGTTATACGCGATTGCCTCTACCTTGAAAAGTGCACAGCAAATTTCGAGCTGCAAACAAAACAAAACAAACGGTTTCAATTAGATTCCATTAAACGATCAAATATTCGGACTTAATTTCAATCAAAGTTGGCGTTTCAACATACAATTTTTCCGTTTTAAATAATACTGCGACACACACGCAAAATTTTGGCCTGCGACGTCGTTGCAAGTACGAAGAAAAATCACTCTGACACGGGTCAGGCTGTGTAAAGCTTACTGTGACGTCACGTGCCGTCACATGACTTTACGTGTGACCACAATTTTTCAGTATATTTTAGTATTTTGTTCAGCAGTCGGATACATCCCTGAGTTTTATCACTAACCACAGTGCAACCCTGCATTGTATTTTTTAGGCATATTTTGGCATTATTGTATTAAGTGTAGAAAGTGTTTTTTATGTACAATTAATTAAATTAAACTAGTTAACACTTGCAAATTATCTAAATGTAGCATCGATTGAACTCTGCGTGCGAATCAAACTGAAAGCGAGCGTAGTAATTGAAATTTCACCACAATTACCTAAGCTAAGCCGACATAAAAAATAAAAGAACAACTGCAGCGCAGCAGCAAACAAAGAGATAGCGCCAGCAGAGACGAACGACCACGACAACGACAACTACACAACAGTGCGGCCAATACAAAAACTCGTTTCTTGTGTGCGTGTGCGTTTCTCTTCTTTTTATTTGCATTGCAGGCAAAGCGGTCGCTGCGACGTTTCGTGGCAGAGACTGACCACAAGAGGGGCGTGCCTGCATCTAAAAGTCCGTAAGCAGAAACAGCAGCAAATTGCAGCATTATGATGGTTGAGTCCGACGGTACCGCCGACGCCACCCGCCGTCTCAATGTTAAGAAACAAACGTTAGACGATGCCTATGCCGTGCCCGCGAATTTCCTCGAAATCGACGTTGTCAATCCATTAACCACCATGGCGGCGGGCAAGAAGCGCTACACAGACTATGAAGTGCGCATGAGGGTGAGTAATACAGTCCCATGTCGGGGCTCCAGCGGGTCACCTACATATGTATGCAAAATATTAGCGGACAGAGCTTGCACAAAAGTGTCAAAACTGTTGATAAAGTAATCGTGGGTGTGTGAGTGTGTGCGTAACTGCTCTGGGACATTTGTATGAATGTGTGCTGTGTCTGATACGCCTATAAACTGAACAATAATTATTAGTCACAAGTCAGTTATTATAAATAGTGCCCGACTGCTGGATACCCTGTTTGAATTTCTCAACATATATCGATATTGCATGCTTTTTAAGCACGTATGTAATACGATCGAACTCATTGTATTGTATTGCGTTGTTGCTCCTGACACCGACAATTATATCCAATATATACATATAAGTAAAAAACATTGTATTATCAATAGGGTATAACAGCAGGCGTTCTGAGTAGCGTTGTTCACAGACGTTCGCTTTGTGTCCGGTTTTTGGGTGGCATTAAAATTTACTTGAGTCACTCTGATATACGGAAGTATGATATGCGGGCTGGAATAAAAGATACAAATATTTTGAGGGCAATTGTATAAAGTCAACTTTATATTGAACAATATTTTTACTCTTATGACAGACCAATTTGCCGGTATTCAAAGTAAAGGAATCGAGTGTGCGACGCCGCTACAGCGATTTTGAATGGCTAAGAAACGAATTGGAGCGCGATAGCAAGGTAAGCATGCTGTGTGGATGGCTTTGAGACATAATCTCATTTAGTTTTGTTTGGTGAAACGTAGATTGTGGTGCCGCCATTGCCTGGCAAGGCATGGAAGCGACAGATGCCTTTCCGTGGCGACGAGGGTCTCTTTGACGAGAATTTCATCGAAGAGCGAAGAAAGGGCTTGGAGGCGTTCATAAATAAGATAGCCGGACATCCGCTGGCGCAAAACGAGCGATGCCTGCATATGTTCCTGCAGGAGAATGTCATCGATAAAAACTATGTGCCCGGCAAGATACGCAACACATAAGGTCGCTGATCCCCACCCAGGACAGCAATAACAGCAGTAGCAATGCAATGAAGCAAAAGCTCGAAACGAACAAAACTTAAGAATTGAAAATTACGAAAAACCAATTAGGCAAAATCAATCCGTGTGTTGTATGTGTGCGTGTGTGTTTAGCCAGTTACGAGTAATAACGAAATAATAGATGTTAAAAAGAAATTCAAACACCAACTGCTTCTTCAGATGGGGCGAGCGAATGTGGCTCAGTTAATGTTGAGAATGCTCCAGCTGAAGTATTGGGAATTTTTATTGCTAAATTAATATGTTTATATGCAACGGTATACATACAATACAAATTATATACTATACAATATATATAATATATATAAAAAATACATACATATTTACCTTATAGTGTACATAATACATACATGCATCAATCAAATCAGTATGGACTGGCCGTAGCACCGTCTTATCGCAACGAGTCCTATTGCAGGACAAGTCAGTAGGACTTCAGAACGTCTCGAATCCGAGTGCGAGCACATCCCTGCTCCTCCTCCACCTCATCCCACTCCAAAACCTTTAGTTGTTGTATAAAATTTGAATTATTGAGTTAAAAATTGCAACAGTAAAGCAAAAAGTTACCCTCCACATCCATGGATTATTACTATATATATATATATACATATATAATTATACAGTTACAACTGTTGTGCAAATTACTGAATATTTTTGAATTATTTTAGTGAACAATATATGTATTGTATTTCGAATCAACTCAAAATAATTCCAATAATAATACATGTATTTTACTAAAATTTGCAGCAGTGTTTTATTTATCTTTTGAAAATCTAAGCCGTAGCAATCGACGCAAAGCAATTCGACATGTATTTTTACAGAGTATACACAACTTTTAATACACTTTACCCAAAAACTAATGCGTAACAATTTTCGCTTATATATTTAAATTTAAACAACGTGATGTTTCGCAAAGTGTTAGGGTAAGTAATTCTATTTCTGCTTATTTTTAATATAATCTCTGGCTTAAGTATTTTGAGCCAAGGCCATATCTTCATTTGTTTTCATGTATACGTTAGTTTATCCCGCTAGGAAAGCTCAGTTGTAGAATTAGATTTTATTTAAACTATTATTTTGTAATAACTTATCTATTAATTTATTGCTGCATCTCTATTTTTAATTATTAAACTTTTTTGAGGTATTAAAACTTGCTTGTTTTGAGATTTATTTTTAAACATAATTTATAAAATAAACAATTTAAGTATTTAAGAAACCGATCATCAGGTCGGCACGCACACAATGCAACCGTGCGTGCCGGCTCAGTCATTGTGCGCAGGGCTGCAACGTTGTGATGTGCGAGCGGGATAGCTATATTATGTTATTAAGTGTATGTGTGAATAGGGTTGTCATGTATGTGTGTGCTTCTTTTGTTTTTTATTTTTGGCATGGACCCTGCGGATTCTCCGACGAAAACGCAAGACAGCGATGACGAAAATTACAATCTACTCTGCCAGGCCCATGAACAGTTCAACAAGTAAGCGCCGCACTCAATTCTTAAATCCATACATTCACAAACATAACCTATTTCCCGCCCAAAAGTCGAGAGTATGACCGATGCCTGGAGCTGTTACAGCGGCTGGAGACGAAAGGTGAGAGCAGCGGCCTTATACTGCGTCACAATCGGGCGGTGGTGAATTATTATAAAACTGGTTGCCTTGAACACCAGACGCTGCTCAATGAACTCGAAAAGCTGGGTAATGACCAACCCGCGCCTGGCGAGCCGACTGTGCCGCTTGCACTAAAGAATGCCGGCAGCGCCCTTACTGTGGCACGCTACAACAAAGCGGTCATATATTTCCATCGGCATATGTACGGCACGGCACTAGATAGGCTAGCGCCGCTGGTGACCAGGCTGGAGGCACTGGAGAAGCAAATGGCTGCGCTTGTTGCCACGTTGCAGTTGCAGCTGCTGTTGGCCACCAATCAGCTAAATCGCGCTGAAGCATTTCTCGACTATTTGCAGTATAAATTGAATCTAGTGGCTAGTGCACCCGGCGCAAGTCCCAGCAGCAGTCTGGAGGAGCCGACGACAACAGCAGCTGCAGCCGTGTCTGCCGCTGCTGCTGCTGCTGCTGCTGCAGCTGCTGCTTCCTCAACAGCGTCCACAGCCGTGGCGAGCTCAACGCCGATTCTAGATAGTAGTGTCACGAGAGCTGCTGGCGAAAACGGTAGCATTCTCCGGCTATTGCAGTTGCTAACACACGTGCTTAATCGCAAGCCTGTAGTCATAACCGAGGATGGGACGCCAGAGATTGCGGCGCTGAAGGCGCAGCAGTATTACATCATGAAAGACTTTCAGATGGCCGCTAAACAGCTGATGCGCATCAACGATGATTGCACCCAGGCCGGGTATGTAAAATTAGTCATTGGCTTTGATCAGCTAATAGCATTATTATTATTATATATATATATATTTTTTTTTTGTTAGCACTGTGACGCCGCAGCTGAGCACGTGCATCGCCAACAATATGGGAGTCATCCATCTGCGGGTACGGCATTATGCAATCGCTGCAAAATTCTTTCAGAATGCACTGCGCTTCGATCAGCAGCTAACATCAAATTTACGGCAATGCTCTCTGCAAACGATGGGATTGGCAAGATCGTGTGAGATCATGTATAATTTGGGCATCGCGATGTTGCATCTACGTAGACCCAAAGAGGCGTTTCAGTGCTTCTTGGTACCAGTCAAGCAATACCATAGTAATCCACGCCTTTGGTATCGAATGGCCGAAGCCTGCATTATGGAACATGAGGCGGTAAGCCATTATGCCTTGTTCAATTCCATTTCCCTGCTCATATTAGCAAATTATTATTATTAGCAAAAACTACCTGGAAAGGATCGCTATACGATAGACAGCAGCCTAAACTCATCGGGATCTAAACCATATGGGTTAGTTTCAAGGGATTAGCTTTGCAAATGTGAACTTTAATATTGTCTGCATTTCTTTTGCATATTCCCGCAGAACACACTCCACTGCGGTGCCAGAGCCAACACTTGAATTTGCAGCTCTTTGCCTGCGAAACGCTCTCACCCTATCTCTGCAATACAAGGCCAGTTTTTATATGGCAGCCTCGCCTGACGAAACACTGGATCCGAAAGACTCATCACAGCAGCTATGGAGTCAAACACAGGACAATAACTTTTGCAACCCATCGAAGCCGATTAGCTTAGAATCAATGGAAAACATGTTGGATGCCATTTATGCGGCGCACAGCTTTGTGTCCCTGCGCTTGGGTGATCACGTCACCGCCCTGGAAATGGCCAAGCACCTGCTGCAGAGTGAGCGTCTCTCCGACGCACACAAGTATGTCCATTTGGTACGACTGTGGAAGGCACTTTAATATTAATATATTTGAAATACAGATTGCTGGGTCACATGTATGCGGGCGAGGCTTTAATGATGATGGACAAATCCGGGGAGGCGCGTGACCATCTGGAGCCAACTTTTGTGAATTCGTTAAATGCTCTTGATCTGGAGACACGTGACTGGCAGCTAAAGTCCCTCGATGCTGCCCAGAATGTTGTTCGATACAATTTGGCCGTTACTTTCGCCTTGCAAAACGATTTCCAGGCAGCCAAAAGTCTGCTGGGTACGCTGACCCACCCGATTGTAAGCAAAAAAGCGCTGACTTTGCATCGTTACATTGAGCTCAAGATAAGCGCCACTGCACTCCATTAGACAACAGATGATGTAAATAACGTAGACGGATTCAATAGGAAAAGCAATGCGGAATGTAAATATAAAAACCACTAACAGACAAGTGTTAATGTATCTATCCTTAATGTCATTGAATTAAAGATTGTAAATTAATTTGCTGTGCAACAAAATTAACTTTCTGTATTTCATTTCGGTATGTATATTAAATAATTCAATTGTAAAAAAATAAAATAAAATAAAAATTTGAATACCAACCTAACATATATGAAGCCTATGTCTATACTAGATTCACATTTTGATTTCAATAAGTTCCTAACCGCCATTCGGAAACACTTAAGTCGAAACTATAAATAATATATTTATTAATCAGTACGTATATCCGCAGGTAATATCTTACAAAGAATCAACCATGGGTTCAATATATATTCTTAGCTAAGTATTTGGCACTGGTAGAAGTTGTGGCTGAAGGTCCCTGGCATATAACACTCTATGGCCACGATCCTGTTTGAAGAGTTAAGCGATATGATATGGAGAGGAAATCTGAGTCGATCGTAATCTATATAAGGAAACCTCTTTAGCATAATATCACTCCCCTCTTGCAGAAGATCAACGCCTGCGGCGCTGCTCATATCGATTCATGGACAGCACAATGTTGTCAAAGATGTATTCGCGCACACCCAGACCGCAGATGAAGTCAAAGTGATTCCAGCGCTTCCAGGGTACCTTGTAGACGGCCTCGACGTTGGGCAGACGCGCGACCAGACGCCAGATATCCGCTGGCGCTACTATATAGTCGTTTTCCGCAAAAAATATTGTGACCGGCGTCTTCACATTTTCCAGTACATACTCCGGCGGCTCCAGCTGCTGATAGTGCAGCCAGTTGAGTTCCGGGCCGTAATCGTACTGTCGAAATTTTCTAGACACGTATCCCTGAAAATAGTGCATTAGCTGCTTCACGGAACCACCCGCCGGAAAATTGGCCATGAGATCCGGCAGCAGGGTCTTGTTGAGGAAGCGCGTATCATAGCCAACCGCTGGCCAGAGCCGGGTGATGCACACCAACGGCTTCTCATTGTCCAGACAGGTCATCGACAGAAACTTCTTAAAGAACTTGTTCGTTGAGAACATCTCAACGCCCTCGAGGATCTTAGAGATGTAGTTACGGGTGCCCAAGATCGGTCCAATGATTTTGGCCAAACCACTTTGAGTATTGTCCACATAGGCGACTGGAGCTAGCAGCGTGGCCGTCTTGAAGACCGCATTGTATTGGGGCAGCATTGAGTTGAGCACCAGGAACACTGTGCCGCCTTGCGAGATGCCCACGAAATGCATCCGCGATACCCCGCTAGTGCGCAGCACATGGTCAATCTGGGCGGGCATATCGTAGACGCTCATCTCGTGCCAGCTAAAGTTCCAGAACTCGCGATCTGTCGTGTTGAGCCACAGATTGTGGCGGCAATAGATGTTGCCGCGATTGTTGCCTAGCCACACATCGTAGCCAGCGCGCCAGAGTAAATAGGCCAGCGAGTCCTCCCGTCCGTTGAGCAGCCACCTGCAAATGGACAGCTGCAGATATCAGTTACCGGGTCAAGCGGAAGACCTGCCACGCATACGCACACATCCGATGAGGCATAGAGGCCGGAGAGCAAGAATACCACAGGGCGTCGCAGTACGGTATAAAACGTTCCATTCGCATCCAGTTGGACTTGGGGTATGCGATGTAAGGTCAGCACGTACCCATCCTTAGTTATTACCCTGTGCTGCTCCACATTGTAGCCATCGTGCTGTATGCGGCGCACCTGCAACGAGCACAAAAACCGAGCAAGCATTGGCAGGAAGTCACACTCAGGTATTTACTTGGCTAACACAAATATTAACACACACACACACACACACACACTCATACACACACACACACGCGCAGTTGGCACATTTATTGCTTGACATTTGGAGGCCAAGCGACGCGTGCGTTGTGACATTCAAGTAATTAGGAATTCCAGTGGCGCGCGCACGTCACACAGCTTGGAACGGTCTCTCCTCCCCAGGTAGAGCTGGTGCCACCACACCTACCGCATCTGTGATAATAATTTCGCGCGAATGTCTAATGGTGGCCAGCACCTGGCGCAGCAGCAAAGCCACCATGACGAAATCCAGGCCCAGATGCAGCAATCTCATGGCTGGCAGGATGGCGATTGCATGAAAGCTGGATTAAGTAATAATATTAACCGTTTAGTCCGAACCGGTTCGCTATCGATCGAAAATGAAAGCTGCCACGCGTTTCTTTGCCAGAGCCAAAAGGATCGAGCGCACACAATGAAAGAAGAAAGTGCCGCCGGAGCTTTCAAAAACAACGGCCGAGGCACAGAGACCAGCGCCAAGAAGCAGTCGCAATATGTTCGCATGAATGGATATGAATGAAAATTGCAATCAAAGTGCCGTCACCGTTGCCCTCTTCGTCGTCGTCGTCGTCGTCGTCGTTGTCGTCTTCGTCGTCGTCGCGATCACGATCGTGGCCAGCGCTCGCTGCTAACGTTCGATTCGAATGTGTTTTATCGACTGTGCACGCGTTTGCGGCTTTGGGCCGCACCGAGCGACAATCGTCGAGTCGCAGGGCTTGTTACTCACGCCGCTCCAAGCTCCAATCGGCTCAGCCACTGAGCGCACTCAGCAAGCCAGCCAGCCAGCCAGCCAGCCAACCAGGCAGGCAGTTAGCCAGCCAGCCACCTGCATGTCGTGTGCCTTACCTGTGCGCCCAAGCTGCGGCGCATCCGGACGCCACTACCTTCAAGTGAGCGTCAGTTTTCTACACTGCGCTTAATACTTGTGGCCAATCGACCACCCCTTCTCCTGAAACTTTTCCCCTCTCCCCGTCCTTCTTCTCACCTGTACTTCACCCAATGACTTGGCAAAATGCCATGGTAGTTTTTTAATTATAGCAGCCCACTACTGAAAGAGAGCCTATGACCATAAATAAAAACTGTTAACGCTTCAATTACAGTGCTTAAAAAAATAATGCTCTACTGGAAGAACTTGTTATATTTTGCGAATAGTTTTACTTTTGTTTAGAATCCTTTATTTTTAAATGATGAAATTAAAATTAAACATAATAAAATAAAAATTGATAAATACTTTGTGTAATTAATAATAATTTTTATATATTCAATTATTTCAATATTTATATAAAACTTGATCATATTTTAAATTAATTATGTACATTTTTATTTTTATTTTATAAAAATTTATATATATATATATATATATGTATATACACGTCACATCATTTAAAAGTGTATTTGAATGCACATTTTTCTAAAGCTGTATATTTTGTTTAAAATTGTGATAAAAATAAGTATGTGTGTATAATTGCGGCTTCAGCTCTCGAAAGTAAAATCAAGTTCTTGGATTTCGAAAAGTGGCTTAATTCAGAACTAGATCGATAAATCTCTAAAATGATTAATATAAATAAAATTGTGAATCAAAAATAGCTTAAATATATTCTAAATATTTTTTTCTAAATAATCAACAATATATATCATGCAAAAGTAATTCAAGGATTTATGCAGGTATTCCAATTAATTTTTCGTGTTTTATAAAAATGTTTCAAATTTAGTTCTATATCACTTAAATTTGATGGATTCCATGAAGTTTTATAAATGAAGTATACATTTATTTTGAAACAATACAATAATTTGCCAAACAATTGCAACAATTTTCATAATAATTATTTTATTATTTGTTATTCAATATCACAATATTATCATAATACAATTTAGCTGCTTTGAAAAGTCGCCTTTGTGCTTTCGTTGCTGTATGGGAAACTTCAATGAAAATTCCATTCATTATATGAATGTATGTATGTATGTATATGCCGTGTGTCTGTATGTCTTAGCACACACCTTGCATATTTTGTGCGCATGCAAGAAATTTTTGGCGCAGTGTATTAATTTTTTGGGAGCTACTTACATATTTGTTTTTGTTTTATTTTTGTTTTTATTTTTTTTTTTGTCGTCTTGAGTTGGCGCGGCTTCCACCACGTCCCATTGTCGTCTCCACCACCACCTCCGCCGCCGACTCCGTCTACGTCTCCGTTATTTTCGCTGAATTGCAATAACCTGTTGCCTAATATGAGCGCTGATCGCAGTGGCTGAGTTCCAGCTTCGCCGACTGCGGCGTGGCAGCGGCAGAGCGTCTGCTTATTTAGGATCTTTGCTCTGCCAGCCCGCCAGCCCATGCCCAGATTTCTACGGCTACTCATACGCTCCACTGTGTCAGCCTGTACGTGTGTGTGTGTACTTAAATACTTGAAAACAATTGACTGGCAGCACGTCCCACGTGCTCCGCCGTCCTCATCAACATCACACACAGCAGTTGGCTGAAAAGCTTTCATTACGGATAGCTTGTTTGTCTATATGGCTTTTTAATAACGCGTCAACAAGTTGGCAAGGGGTTGTAAAATGCTGTGCACACACTCGTACACACTCTCTCGCGTACAAGTGTGGGCAAACCAACTCAATTTCGATTTCGATTCCCGGTCAAATTCACCGACCGACCCACTGGCCCACAGTTGACCCCCAAAGTGACTATCTGACTATCTGTCTGTCTGGCCGTTTGGCAGTATGTCTGTCTGGCTGGCTGGTCATACATTCACGTACGATAAATATGGTATGTATTTTACATTGCATTGGGCAAGCCCACGGCCCAGTGTCTGGTTTTTTTTGCTTTTTGTTTTTTGGCGTTAAAACAGTTTACGCTAATTTAAATATTGTGACACATCCGTTGAGTTCGACGCGTGCTGCCAGCGTCCGAGTCGGTAAACAGTTGACAACAAGCTTTGACAATTAAACCAGCGAGTGCCGGTAATTAAAAGGGATTGAGGCCACGGGCATAGCTCGTCTCAGACTCCGTCAAGCGAGGCGCCGGCATTGACTCAAGCCAACCAGTTATCACCTCGTTAGCTTTCTTTCGTTGCCGCCTAATGGATTCTATGTAATAGGCACTTGCACTCCCATACCTCACCCGATTGCCCAACATATTTGCTTTGCTCTTCCTCCCTATGATCGGCACATATTAACTCGCACGTGTGATAATTATATAATGTAACCTAGCCTGTTCGGGCCACTTTCATACACTGCCTGCGGAGGGTATTTTGCTTTATGTTTACGGCCTTATTAAAAATACATTTAAATTTTATTTTTAATGGATATATGTTTTTATCGGACATTGAATTGCATCTCTGCCCGCTTTGTATAGATTAAAAGCCAATCGAGCCATAACTTGACTAAGTCTTCAGTTTATTGTGATCATCATAAAAATTTAAAATTACAAATGATCCATATTAGATAAGTCTGAGGACGATTCCTTATCTCTGAAAGTCGCTCAACTACATCATATAAAAAACCTTAATGCAAGTGAAGTATTTAATTAAATTTTTGATTTATGGAAATGTAATTACAATATTTGAATTTTAGTGTGCATCCATCTTATTAATTTTGGCTTCTGTGTAAAGACAGGGTAATGAAAGACTTGGATATGCTTTCGCTTTTTAATTGATTTGGACTGCCGTTTTGTAAGCTTTGCTTTGAACTTGAAACACGAAATTCGTAATTCGAAATTCGTAATGGTTTACATCTGCATAATGTACGCGCACACAGCCCGAAATATCGGCCGTAAATCAAAGGCTGATTCAACTTTTCCCTGGGACAATGAGTTGACATTTCACTTTTCACTTCGAGTGCTCTTGCTGTCTGATAAACTTCACCATTTCTCGTTTTTTTTTATGATTTTTTTTTTCGATATTTGTTTTGGTCATTTTCAGCTGAAGACTATACGACTCGAGTTGGGCTTTACGCATTGCATTTCCGGCCAGGGTTAGCCCTTCTACTCGGTTATCGCATCAGCACCAGCCAAAGAGCTGCCTTTCTTCTTCTTCTTCTTCTTCTTTATACTTACATATATTTACATATGTAAGAGTAACTGCATTTGTATGCACATATGTACATACATAATCCGATGCGGCTTATCAGCTGCAGCAGGGGCAACCGGGGCAATATTGCTGCCGCCGGGTCATAAAACGAAAGTGATTGGTGCCGCTTGGGAAAAGAGCCGATCGAGGCCTTGGCTACAGCAAATAATCAGCAAAGTGGCTAAGCACAGCGCTAATCTGGCGCTAATTGTTTCTTAATGTGTTTATGAGTCCAAGTCAAGTAGAAAGACCAGGTAGCTGCTGGCCATTGCCAAGAACCATTTAACTGTTGCCCATCTTTGCTGGCTCGTTTGCTTCTCTAATTACAATTTTATACAGCTTGAGGTATTTTCCGCATCGGTCTGAGTCATAAGACACGGCTATGCCACGGTCCGCTGTCTAGCTGAGCAATTGCCGATCGTAAAATGCTGTGCGCACTGCGACAAGCAAAAAGTAAACAATAAAAAAATAACAGCAGCAGCAACAACAACGACAACGCACGCCTGCCACCGCCGTCGCCATAGACAACAACAAAAGGAACACTGGAAGGTTTTGGAGGAAGTGTCCAACGGTCGACAGTCGTTTCCATCTCCGTCTCATCGTCATGACTAAGGAAAACCAATTGATTCCTTCCTGTTGCTTGGCTGCGCTACAACAAGCGATCTAAAAGAAAGAAAGGAAAGAAGAAGAAAAAAACGCACACGAAATCTAAATATTTAACGACTAAATTGTATCTGAAGGCGCGCTCACATTAGTCAAATTTTTCATGCCACGACCCGGGCTTACCTGCTGCCGCCATAATCAATAAAACATAAACAGTGGGCCGACAAGTTGTGTCGAGTCGAGCTAAGTCGAGGCAGAAGCAGAGGCTCCCGACTGCGACTGCGACTGCGAGTCCCCGAGACCCATTGAACTGGCCGCATCACGTAACGGCGAATGTTACAAGGAAAACCTACTCAAACAACAACATCAGCAACCACCACACACACACACAAATAAAAGAAAGAAAAACACATAGCTACAGCAAATGTATGTAAATACATATTTGAATACACTGGAATTAAATTAAGAACTTTATATAATACTGGAAAGATGTTGCATTGCTATAATAATAATTTATAATATTTATAATTATTACAAAATCTCATTATTTATTTTTTTTTAATTTAGGCTTACTATATAATAAAATTTTGTATATTTTTATTGTCATTATTATATTATTATTTTATATACATTTAATATATATATATTATAATTTTATAATCATTAAATTATTTTTAATCTCTTTAAGTATTTTACTATGAATTTTAAATATATATTCTTTGTTTATTATTTATTTTGTTTAATCTAAAAAATTTTATTTGAGCATTTAAAAAATTAACGAACATGCTTATTTACGTATATAATATACAAATA